CCTGGGTTCAGGCAATTCTCCTGCCTCAGCCTCCTGAGTAGCTGGGATTACAGGCACGCGCCACCATGCCCAGCTAATGTTTTGTATTTTTAGTAGAGACGGGGTTTCACCATGTTGACCAGGATGGTCTCGATCTCTTGACCTCGTGATCCACCCGCCTTGGCCTCCCAAAGTGCTAGGATTACAGGCGTGAGCCCCCGCGCCCGGCAATTTTTGTATTTTTAGTAGAGACGGGGTTTCATCATGCTGGTCATGGAGGTCTTTAATTCCTGGCCTCAAGTGATCCTCCTGCCTCGACCTCCCAAAGTCCTGGGATTACAGGCGTGAGTCACCACGCCTGGCCAAGCCTCGAAAGTTTTTTTTTTTTTTTTTTTTGAGACGGAGTTTCGCTCTTGTTACCCAGGCTGGAGTGCAATGGCGCGATCTCGGCTCACCGCAACCTCTGCCTCCTGGGTTCAGGCAATTCTCCTGCCTCAACCTCCTGAGTAGCTGAGATTACAGGCACGCGCCACCATGCCCAGCTAATGTTTTGTATTTTTAGTAGAGACGGGGTTTCACCATGTTGACCACGATGGTCTCGATCTCTTGACCTCGTGATCCACCCGCCTCGGCCTCCCAAAGTGCTGGGATTACAGGCTTGAGCCACCGCGCCCGGCTCGAAAGTTTTTTTACAATCTTAATGTTGTATCTTGGAGGGCAAGGACTCAGTACCGCTCATTTACTGCTGCATGATTGGCACACAATGGGCCCTCGATAAACGTTTAATGAATGAATGACAATGTCGAAGTACCGTCCTTGGCCTCATTTTCTTTCTGTGGGCATGTTAATGCCTGCCCTGCTCATTTCACAAGAGGTTGTGAGGCTGCGGGAACCACAGGATCCGTCCCCCTCGCCCAGTCGTTGGATTTGGAGGCTCTCAGGCCGCGTCAGGTTTTACATTCAGGAAAGGCGGAGCTCCAGTCTTCCCCGGGAACTTGCCGGCTAAGTTCCACGTGTGCGTCCCGCCCATACCTGTCAGCTGATGGGAGGGTCAGGACCGGGCCTTAAGGGGCGTGGCTAGAAGTGACAACGAGGAAGAAGGTGGAGTTTTGAAGGCCACTGACCAATGAGAGCGCAGATCTGTGGGCCGGAAAAGGCGGGGACGCACGCCGGAGACGGTGTTAACACATTCCCATTGGGCCAGCTGTCGTCGTCAAGGTAACGCAGCGTCTCCCCCGCCTTGGAGGTGGAGGGGCGGGGCCTCCTGGGAGGCGGGGCTTCCGGGGCCGACTCGGCTGGGACCGGGCGCTTGCCGTCAGCTGACCTGCCGCCATCTTGTCCGCCATTTGCAAGTGGCCCGGAGCGGGATCACGGCACCTGCTGAGCGGGTCGCCGCCTCTGCCGCGGTCCTCGGACCCCGCCGCCGCCCTGGCCTGGGAGCCTGCCCCGCCGCGGCGGCCGGCTGCGCAGCGCTCCGCGGGCGGCAGGCGCGGGCCCCGGGCCCCCTCACGGCGCCCAGCCGCGGGCCTCCCGGGGCACAAGCCCGTGGGCCGCCGCGATGGCCCTCAAGATGGTGAAGGGCAGCATCGACCGCATGTTCGACAAGAACCTGCAGGACTTGGTCCGCGGCATCCGCAACCACAAGGAGGACGAGGTGAGCCCGGCGCGCCAAGGGGCGGCCCGGCCTGGTCACCGCCCCGGCCCCGGGCCCGGCCCTGCTCACGGGGCCTGCTCGGTCTGCAGCCCGCCCGGGTTCTTAGTTCGAGGTCCCGCTCTGGCTCCGGCCCTGCCTGCCCCGGGCCTGGGGCGCCGCCCACCTCCTCGGTCCCCCAGCCTCAGTTGATCCCCGAGGGGGCGAAGGTCCTGGGGCCGCCCCTCTCGGGTCCGCGTCTCGGCCGATCCCCGAGGGGAAGCGCTGCTGTAAATGTAACGCTTTGGGCCCGGCCGATGGGTGCCCTTCCCCTGGACCCTCCTTTCCCTCGCGCAGAGGGAGATGCAGCCCGCCTCTCCTTGGCTCGAGTGACCCCTCCCAGGAGACTCGTGAGGTCGCTGGGCAGCGATTCTCCAACCCGAGCGTGTTTCCGAATCACCGATTAAAAACGCAGGGTCCCGGCCGGGCGCGGTGGCTCACGCCTGTCATCCCAGCACTTTGGGAGGCCGAGGCGGGTGGATCACGAGGTCAAGAGATCGAGACCATCCTGGTCAACATGGTGAAACCCCGTCTCTACTAAAAATACAAAAAATCAGCTGGGCATGGTGGCGCGTGCCTGTAATCCCAGCGACTCAGGAGGCTGAGGCAGGAGAATTGCCTGAACCCAGGAGGCGGAGGTTGCGGTGAGCCGAGATCGCGCCATTGCACTCCAGCCTGGGTAACGAGAGTGAAACTCCGTCTCAAAAAAAAAAAAAAAAAAGCAGGGTCCCGGGCCCCGCCCCCGGACCCTCCCTGGGAGACGGAGGCCGGGGGTCCTGGGCCGCCGCTGGAGAGACTCCTTCCTCCTGGGTGGTGTAAATGCGCGTCGAAGTCCCTCCCTGGGGCCTGGCTGGGAGCCGGCCGTGGTGGAGGGTGGTGGTGGTGTTGGGGCCTTGCCTCCTGTGCCCCTGTTTCGAGGAAGGCGGGGCTGCTGCTGAGAGGGAGGAGGAACTCTCCATCCTAAGCCCCAGTGAGATAGCAGCCTGGGGGGGGCCTGGAATGGGGAAGCTGACTTCAAGTAGGAAGCTGAAAGCCAGGGCGAGGAAATCCTTTTCCAGAAGTAAAATTACAACTACAGGCATCGTTTCCTTCTCGCCCTTCCCTTCCCCCAACCTGTGACCTAGATTGAAGAAGAATGGGCATAGTGGCTACCAGGTGCCTGGCTTCATGGACGGGGGCCCGAGCAGCTCTTGGGCAGTGGAAGCCTTAGAACGTCTCCCACCTAAGCGACTGCCTGTCTCCTTGCCTGCTTGGACAGCGAGGCGGGTCTGAAGGAGAGCAGCCGGCTGATACAGCACCAGTCCCACTACCAGAGGCCGTGTGGGGCACGAGGTGCCAGGAGGGCAGGGCCATTAAGAGATTTGCTTGCAGGCACCAAGTCCCTCAGCCCATGCCCCTCTCCCTGGGAACCTGAGCTCTTGCCGTATGCTTACACCTTCACACTTTTCCACAAGTGGCAATGGCTTTGCCTGCCGCCACCTTAATGAGGTCTGAGTTCTTCTCCACCCTCATTCCCTTCTCTTCAGCCTCCTAGATTGTCAGCATCTCAGAAGCACTCCCTAACTGCTTTGGTTACAATGTGTAACTAACTCGATAATGTTCAGATTCTTCCTGATGCTCAGTCAACAGAGACGGAAGTCCAGCCCAAAGCTGCCTCCTTGTGATGGCTGTGAGGCAGCATTTCCCCCAACCCCCCAAATGGAATCTTGAAAGCATTGCTGATGGGCCTGGTTTTTACTGTGCTGAGCGTGGTTCACCAGATTGGAAATGTGACTTGCTTCCCGAGAGGACCTTTTCTGCATGGACAGGATCTCCCAGCGCCCGTCCCAACCCCCTTTAGCGCATGCCACTGAGCAGCGTGTAGTGGGATCCTGAGGACAGGCCAGGGAGTCTGCCCAGTGGACGACCACACCTTTAATCAGGGCCGTGGTTTTCGGGGAGGTGTGCCTGTCTTCGCTGGGTAGCTTCTGAGCTTGGGCTTCTTCCTTTGGAATTGGTGTGAGTTGAAAGCACTTTCCCCACAAGCATGGGCGCGTTGAAGGGAGTATTGGTGTTGGAAACTTTCTTTTTTTGAGACGGAGTCTCCCTCTGTCGCCCAGGCTGGAGTGCAGTGGCACCATCTCGGCTCACAGCAACCTGTGCCTCCCAGGTTGAAGTGATTCTCTTGCCTCAGCCTCCTGAGTAGCTGGGACTCACCAAAACGCCTGGCTAATTTTCTGTATTTTTAGTAGCAATGGGGTTTTACAGTGTTAGCCAGGATGAGCTTGATCTCCTGACCTCGTGATCCTCCGCCCCCCTTTGCCTCCCAAAGTGCTGGGATTACAGGTGTGAGCCACTGTGCCTGGCCCTTTTTTTTTTTTCTGAGACAGTTTTGCTCTTGTTGCCCAGGCTAGAGTGCAGTGGCGTTATTTCACCTCACCGCAACCTCTGCTTTCCAGGTTCAAGGGATTCCTGCCTCAGCCTCCTGAGTAGCTGGGATTACAGGCATGCGCCACCATGCCCGGCTAATTTTGTGTTTTTAGTAGAGACAAGGTTTCACCATGTTGCTCAGACTGGTCCCGAACTCCTGATCCCGGGTGATTTGCCCGCCTTGGCCATCCAAAGTGCTGGGATTACAGGTGTGAACCATTGCGACTGGCCAGGAAACATTTTTATAACGGCTCAGAGCTGTCCTTAAAGTCCAGGCTTCCTCAAGGGCCCTACCATTGGCCAGTCGGCGATTTCAGGCAGGACACAGGGACCCTAGTTTTCTCACCGGAAGACCATTGCTATGGCTCCCAGGGTCATGACTCAGGTGTTCACATCTGATTCTGGATGTTCTCTGCAGCGGCGGGAACTCCTGATTGGAGAGCAGCAAATGACTGTTCAGTGACAGTTCTAGTGGCCCCTCCAGCCCCTCCACTCACTTTAAAAAAGCAGCTCCCTGTAGACCGCATGTTGTAGGTTCTTCCCTCCCGCCCACTGCACCCGGAGTGAGGACTGTTGACAGTGTATGTTTTCTGCAGCAGTGTAGTTTCCAAAAAAAGTTTCTGTTTCGTAATAGATTTTCCCCTTGAACTTGAGAGTGGCATCATGGAAACGAAGCTTAGCAATGACTCTGAGAGCCTTGTGGAAGGCAGGGCGATTGAGTGGAATCATGAAGTTTGGGAGATCTGCGTCCGGGGGCTCGGGCTACCTTCGTGGGGTAGCCCCCGGAGAGCCCCTGCGCTGTGTCCTCCTGTGTAAGTGGGGATGACAGTTGCCCCCCTCCTTGCCGAACGATGCTGAGGATGCTGCAGTGAAACTCGGTTTTCTGGAAGCGCCAGGGTGCTCTAAGTAAGGTTGTCTAGTTCACTTTTCCAGTCCTCAGGCTGTGACCTCTTTGTGGGTTGTAAGTTCAATTTAATGGGTTATGCTAGGTCAGAAAAAGGAAAAGAAACTAGAAAATAGCAGAGTGCAGGTAGGTGCAGTGATTGTCCTGTCCTGAAGCTTTGATTTCTGCGTGTGATACTTGCGTGCACGTGTGAGCTTACTGGGTTACCATGCAAAACCCATTAAGGATTAAGGTGAGTCCAGAAAGCGTGAGAAATCGTGGTCTGCTTGGCGTGTGTGTCGGTCTACCTGAGTTGCCTGCGTCCTTAAGAATCAGCAAGGATGATGTTGGCAGGTGGGTGGAAATCCACCTGGAGGTGTCCTCAGCTTCTAAAGCTCAATAGAACTGGGACAAAGCCAAACCACTTTTCCTGTTTCCTTCTCACAAGTCCTTTTCGTAGTTTTGGGAAAGTTTTCTCCCCTTTTTCTTTTTATTCTTACTATTTTTTCTTTTTTTTTTCCCCCCCAACATGGAGTCTCGCTGTGTCACCCAGGCTAGGGTGCGTTGGTGTGATCTCGGCTTACTGCAGGTTTCACCTCCCGAGTTCAAGCAGTTCTCCCTGCCTCAGCCTCCCGAGCAGACTCCGACTCTCTCTATAATTTGAACTGAATGTGTGTTCTGGTTTTTTTTAAATGACATCAGTCATTCCCTTAGATCAGCGTCTGCTCCTCAGCACTGTGGATGTTGGGGCTGGATCATTCTTTGGGTAGAGCCGTTCTGGGCAGGACCCACCCACTTCATGCCAGGAGCTCCTCCAGTCATGCCAATCACAGGTGTCCCTGGACAAAAGTATCTCTTGGAGGTAGAATTGTCCCCAAATTAAAAGCCGCTGACCCCACTTGATGGTAAGAAAATTCTCCCAGAATTCCCAAGGGCCTCCCGTTGTCCAGGTGCCCTCGACCCCTGTATTCTCATGGTGGTGGTGGACGAGGATGTGCTTCTAGGTGTGCTTCCTCCCCCACCCCTGAGCATCTTTAATTGCGAAATATGCAATGCATAGACCATTGTACAGCTAATTTTTTTTTTTTTTTTTTT